GGAGTAACTTATAGTATACTAAGAGTTAACATGTATTGGGTCACCTTTACAAGGTGAATTCTGAAGTTCACGATATAATTTGCTTGCTTTATATTAATCGTTATGCCATGGACTGAGGTTCACATTGCACTATGGACCATGGTTCATGTGTTTGTGTTTTGTGTTATGATTTTTTGTGTCTGTGTTATAAAATTCTGTACCTTTTGAGTATGACTTTTGTACTTGGAAGAAATTAATAATTGTGTCTTATGTTATGAGTTTTTGTGTCTTGTGTTGTTAAATTTTGTGCCTATGAACACAAATTATGTACTTAAATCATATTTGAAAAATAAGTAAATATATAACATGTGTATGTGTCTTGTGTCATGATTTTTTTTTTTTGTCTTGTGTTATGAAATTCTGTACCTTACGAGTATGAATTCTACACCTCGTCTTTTCAATTCAGCTGAGTCTATAATGTTATGTGTCTTGTGTTGTGATTTTTTGTATTTTGTGTTATGAAATTATGTACCTTACGAATATGAATTATGTAATCTCACTTTCAAAGTACTCATATTTGTAAAAATTTAATTTTTTTTTTTGTATACTATTGTAGCACAAAGAGTCAACATCACCTCCACTGAGGCTCAACCTCATGATCTTCCACATAGGAAAGTCATTACATGCCATCTAAACACAAAGTGCTTGGTATAAAAAGTAAATAATTAATTGAAAGAAAATATCAAGAATTGAGAGCGAACCTTCATATTATATTACACCACAACATCGAATCGTTATATCGTAGACCAGGGTCCATAGTGCACTGTGGACCCTGGTCCAATACACAGAATTCATGGGAGCGTTATGCTGTGCATCCGTATGCACCATGCATGGTGCATACGTATGCAAAAACGACGTCGTTTTGGCGTTTAACTTAAAAAAAAATATTAAAAAAAAATCAGAATTGCATAACTACACATCCATAATTTCACTACACATCCATAATTTCATAACTACACTTCCAGAATTGCATAACTACACTTACAGAATTGCATAACTACACATCCATAACTTCATAACTACACATCCAGAATTGCATAACTACACTTCCAGAATTGCATAACTACACTTCCAGAATTTCATAACTAAAAAATCCAAAATGAATGAACTAAAAATGAATAACATAATGTTGTTGCTGGGAATCGAAACTGATTTTTTTTTTTTTTTTTTTTTTAAGTAGGGCGCGCGTTTTATGCAAAACGACGTCGTTTTTGCATCTGTATGCACCATGCAGGGTGCATACGGATGCACAACATAATTTGCCGAATTCATGTGTATAATATACAGAATTTATGTTTATAATGCACATAATTTATATTCATAATACACATACACATAAACACAATATTATGAACATGAATTTTGTACATTATGAACATGAATTATGTGTATTATATAGCTGAGTACACATGCATAAACACTTAACATAATACACAGAATTCATGTTCATAATGCACATAATTCATATTCATTATATCGTGTCATGTATATGTATATTATGAACATGAATTATGTACATTATGAAGTCAAATTATGTGTATTGATTCAGAATCCACAGTGCACTATGGACCAGACCCTGGTCCACGATATAAATTGCCCACAACAACACAAAATAAATCATTATAAATTTGTGTGTGATCTACAAGATACTTGAATTGAAGAATACATTCTATAATGTGTAAAGGTTATCCACATGTTTTTCTCACACCAAGAACTTGGAAAGTTAAGAAATAGATAAAAGAAGAAAGGGAGAATTGCAGTGGCTATACAAAGGAGTGGCCTTTGCCCATCATGCATATTGGTTGATAGTGACATAATTAAAGCTTCATTTGACCTTAACCACATGTACATATATATTATCCATAAAGTCATAATGAATTCATAAGAGTATATATTCCTATTTAAAATATAATCCAAACATTTTTTTGATAAAGGGTTCAAATTTAACGTCATCAAAATAGAATTACTTGGCAAGAAGTTCTTAGCTCGCAGTTGTTATTCGAAGTTTCACTTTGGATAAAATCTGGCATTGTATTCTCTCACAAGGAGTTAAATTTAGAACATTATGATTACCAATAAGTCAGTTGTCTAACCAATTTAGATTGAGTTTCCCCCAATTCTTAATTGATCTTAAGTATGTATATGTATATCCTTGCTAAGAGGAAACAACTACTTGTTCAAAATCATTGAAACAATAAGCTAGCTAGTTATTACAACGCTAGCTAATTAGTAATTAAGCAGTTGAGAGATCCTTATGCATCCCACAATGGTTATTGATGAGAATATGAGCTAACTTTTGTGGTGTAGTTAGGATCTGTGTTCATATCAACCGTGATCATCAACATATCCGGTTAGATTAAGATCAATATTTCTAACCACAAGGTATAATATGCCTTGTTGATTCGATAAAAGTGAAAAAAAAAAAAGTGAATTGTTTAGAGCATCCCTATCAATGGTTTTTGAGGAGGCAATGCTTATGTGGAGGAAAGACGGAGAGGAGAGAGAAGGAAATGTATGGAGATGTAATTTTTGGACTGAACATGTGAGGCTCGCGTGGAGAAACTGCATGCGCCGTGTTCGCACGTTCAGCGTAACTTGCGCGCCCAGAGCCGGAAAGCTTATGTTTTTATTTTGTTTTCTCTGACCGTTGGTTTCTTTTTTTAATTCATTTTTTTTTTTGGCTCTCACCTCTTTCTTTGTAATTTGACAAAAACTCTTTAAAAATCATGCCAATTGGAGATGCTTTTAGTTTTATTACCAACTAGTAATTCACCCGCGCGATGCACGGAAAAAAATATGTTGTTATAAATATAAATAAAAAATAGAAAAATTAAAATATTTTAAATTATTTAATATAATAATATTTTTGAGCTTCCATTGGTCAAGTATTTATTATTTTTATAGAATACAAAATTAAAATTAAAATTAAAATTAAAATTAAAATTATAATTATAATTTTGTATGGTTAATATAATCTTTAATTATGTGCATATTCAAATAAACTTATAGAGATAATTTACATAATTACATTGATTTATTCTTAATTGTATTTCATCTATATTATAATTTTCACAATACAAATAATAACTAAGATAATAACATTTGGAAAGCAAATTTCAAATTTTGTATGTGTAAATTTAAACTCTAATTGAACACATTTTTTATATGATTATATAATATACAGCTATTTTATTTTTCAAAAGTATATTTTTTATATGATTATATAATATATATCTATTTTATTTTTTAAATGTTGTGTTTTTTTTTTTTTTTTAATAAAGGATGTAGTGACATTAATTGTAACATTAATTATTTCCCAAACCTAGCTTTATTATATAAAGGATGTACTCTAGTACGCGTCATGTCAAGAATTGAAGCAAGGAATAAGATGAAAGTATGTGTAGTGAAATTCAAAATACGAAGAACATAATATTTATTAAATAATTTTAGCAAGATCAATCAGAAGGATAATATGAACCTAATGCACAAGAATATGCCCAACCTTTGTAAGGAAGAAAGTGTTTTTATTCTGCACTTTACCCAATAATCCTAATCATTGGATGAATCAAAAGATACAAGAGTAGAGTCAATGATCAGGAAAATAATTGAAGAATTTTATTTTTTTTATTGAAGAATTTTTATTTCACAAAGTGGGACGAAAGTTTTGGCTTTAATTACTTTTAAAAAATTTTAATACATTTCACAGAATCATCAAACCCCTTTTTTAGTACATATATATAATTATATATAACCGGTCAACTCAACAATACATCAAGTTTGTTTGTTTCTGCCCGTGTGTTTCACAACAAAATTTTAAATTATTATTATTAATTATCTCCAATCTAAATAAAAAGTTTAATTTCTTTAAGTAAGGTTGTACAATAGAATCGAGTTAATTACTGTTTTGGTTCCTCGACTATGTCAAAAATATCAAATTGGTTCTCGATTATCAATTTTAGACAATTAAGTTCTCAACTATTGATTTTGTATCCAATTTGGTCCTCCATCAATTTGGCTGTGAACTGACCGTCTCTTTTGAGGACAAAATGGGACTTTCACTCTTTTGAGGGCAAAATGGGACTCCGACTGGGCGGTGGCCAATTTGTTCAGCAATTTGAGGCTCTCTTCGTCCTCTCCGGCCTCGACCTTCATTCTCATGGAGGAGTGCTTTCAGGGATTCAACAGCTTCAGGACTAGATTCCAAGAACTGAGTCAGCGGCGAATCTTCTTTCTCCTCCAATTCCTGAACAACCTCTTGCTGCTCTTCCAAGACAGCCACCAGGGTCTGTGCCTCGGCTCTCGCGAGTGGCATTGACAGGAACTTACCGAACGTGATGGCAGCGAAAACAGCCGCGATCCCTGCGGATTTGAGAGTCGCAATCAACGGATTCTGATTAGAAGTAGCAGAAGCTCGGACGATGAACCTCTTGTTATTGCTGCAAGGTGCGGAAAGGCGACAGCGGGATATGGACTTATGGAGTGAGGTTTCTGGACGGTTTTAGGAAAATGGAATGCGGATGAAGAAGCGCCTAAGGTCAGTCCCGACAACTCCATAGCTTGCTCCGCCAGCTGTGAGTTTTGCAGATGGAGGGAGGACACAAATTATTTGTAGTGGGAATGCGGGAAAATAGTGAAAGTCCCATTTTTTCCTTAAAATAGACAGCCAGTTCACAGCAAAACTGACGGAGGACCAAATACAAAATCAATAGTTGAGGACTTAATTGGCCAAAATTGATAGTCGATGACTAATTTAATACTTTTCTCATAGTCGAGGGACCAAAATGGTAATTAACTCATTCGAATCTTTTGAATGACCCAACTAAAATCTCGACCAGCTTTTTACAATCGATTGCTGTGAGTACAATGGAATACTTGTCCTTTCAATATTTGATACAACTAAGAAGCATAAAGATTTGTACTCAATGTAAATCAATATGGAGCTGGTTGACAATTTAGAATTTTTCTTTTATATATATATATATATATATATATATATATATATATATATATATATATATCGAAGAAAGTCATGTAATAATATCCAAGTTATTATATATACAAAACTTAACTACTTCTATTAACATTATTATAAGAGAAAAAAGTTGAATAATATATATATGAGCAATATATATAATATTATTGTGAATGGAATATATAGGAAGGGAAAGTGGAGAAGTTGAGAAACAGTGGTGCCAGGCTTGCACTCCAATCCTCCACAAGGAATCCTTGCCTAAAAAGTAATGGGTTTGCTTCAAAGCCAACCGAATCTCACTCCTTACCTCATCTCCTCATACTTCTTCCCTACATTGCATCTTCCCCCCTCCCAAAAAAAAAAAAAAAACACTTAAACGATTTATTTTCTATATCAATAATCATATTGAGTTTCAACTAATATAAAGTCATAATATTGTTAGACGTCTTTTATTCCCTATTAATCTATTCAGGAGTTTACAACTTATAAAGCACAATGTACAAGTTTACAAAGCATATGATTTTATAATTTATCATGTTGTTGTACAGTTCTCTTTTATTCTATTAATGATGAAAAAAATATTGCGCCATAATCTCAAAAGTCTCGCCACTTTGGACCCAAATACTTATACATGTTTTGATACACACCGAAAATAATAAACTTGCAAGGATGCAGTATACAAAAAAAAATAATAATAATAAACATATCATCTTGTTACGTGAATTCTGGTCTACTAGTAATTAGACCAATTTTATATATCCTTTCTTTATTATATTCATAAAAATAAAACACCAGTTGTTATACTATGAGCCAATGTCCACCTTAAAAGGTGAATCCGGATTATTATTATTATTATTATTATTATTATTATTATTATTTTTTTTTTTTTTAAAGATGAATCCGGATCCAAAATACACCATTTACCTACTAAATATTCATAATTTACATATTTAGTGTTCACAATTTACTTTTTACCAAATTGTGAAATTTCAGTAGGTAAATAGTATATTTTGGACTCGGGTCCACGAAATAATTTGCCGTAAAACTAAAACAGGATACCTATTTGAAAAGAAATGAACTACTACTGCCGCAAAGTTCCTTGGTTGTAGCCCTAAACATGAATAAGTGTATGTACATTCACAACCCATATATATATATATATATATATATATATATATATATATATAATAACTTGCAAAGCTGGAAGAGCTAGAAGGAAACATAGTGAAGATATATTCACGGCTGCCCATTTCAAATATATATATATACTCTCTGTTTGTTACGTTTGCTTTCTCCATCGATCTCCAACTTTAATTTCTTCCTTCTTCTATTTATAGTTGTTTGTTAAAAGTTAGATTAGTTAACAAGTATGGAAGGATTTGAGGTTGGAAAGCGAGACGAAAGTATTTGTCCGATGAAGAAACGGCGGACTAAACGGCCGCGCCACCATGACACGTCGTCGTCGCTTTCATCTTTCAGTGATAATTCCGGCGGGTTTGATCATCGTCGTTCTCTATCCAACGATTCGGATATCGAGTTGAATCATCACAGGGTTGAAGAAGAAGAAGACATGGCCAAGTGTTTAATGCTTTTGTCTCAAGGCCACATCAGGAAACCGCCGCCGTCTGCGGCGGCGGCGGCGGCGGCGGGGATGAACAGGGAAGTCTACGAGTGCAAGACGTGTAATCGCGTGTTCCCATCATTCCAGGCCCTCGGCGGCCACCGAGCTAGTCACCGGAAACCAAAGGCGGCGGCGGCGGAACAGCAACAACAAAATCAAGAAAGTGTCGTCGTCGACGACGATGTTACAACGTTGTCGCTTCAAATTCCCGGCCGCCCGCCCGCCGTGACGAGCTCTCCTCCTCGTAACAAAGTTAGTAATCGGATTCACGAATGTTCCATCTGCGGGGCAGAGTTTAGCTCCGGCCAAGCCTTGGGGGGTCATATGAGGAGGCATAGACCGCTGCCCAGCATTGCCGCCGCCGATCAAGAAATCAAGAAGCCCAGCCTTCGATTGGCTTTAGACCTTAACTTGCCGGCGCCGGAAGACGATCACCGGGAAATAACCAAATTCCCATTTGCATCCAAGGAACAAGTCATCGTCTTCTCGGCTTCGCCTTTGGTCGATTGCCACTATTGATCATCGTATTCTTTTTCATTCCTTTCACTGTGAAATTATTAATTATTACTGCATTTGTTAACGTTTAAGTCCATTGTTATACATTTAAAGGATTACCAAATATCCATTCTTTCAATTCTTTTTATATACACATACATATGAATATATATTATTCATCTTAAATACATATTATTGTTTGATTATTAGTAATCCCGATGAAAGATGAGATTTAATTTTTTTTTTAGGAGAAGTCATTATTTTGGTCGCTCAATTGTTTCTTAACTATTAATATAATTCCTAGCTTTAAATTTCAACCATTTCATCATCGAATTATTTAAAATTTTGTCAATTAAATAACTTTAGGGACCAAATTGACAAAATTTTTAAAATGTGAAATTCAGCATTTTGGTCCTTGAAAGGGTTTAATTGATGAAATTTTAAATAATTCGATAATTAAATTGATTGAAATTAAAAATTAAGGACTACATTGAAAGTCAGGAAACAATTGAGGTACCAAAATGGTGATTAATTCTTTTTTTTTTTTTTTTCATCGGTATGATTCTAATTAAAATTCTATTTGTATAGTGCACAACTTAATTCAAACCGACTTATGTCCATATATGATTATATTATATATATATACTTATGATTGAGTTAATTAGCATTATATATATTCAGTTCATGTAAGGGTATGGTCTTATTATATTTTATATTTTAATAAAGTTGGAATGAAGTTTCTTTCAAATTTCATTTAAGAAAAATCTTAAATTTTAATATATATATATATATATATATATATATATATATATATATATATATATATATATATATATATTACAAAGTTTGAAATTGAACTCTGATCTAATCTATAGTGGAAACGAATAAAATGGGTGGATTAGGTTTTCTTGTTTGATTTGCACAAGAATAGAATAAAAGCTATACTAGCAAGTGTTATCTGTATCCATATGTCGGTTTCAACTATATGCATGACATAATAAATTAAGAGATATGGTTGCAAGTAGCCATTGCATGTACGTGTATGTCACTATATCTATCTGCTGTATGTATTACTATTATTATCATTATGGATCCGGCCATCATGCATGACATATTGTTGTATATGTGACTATATGAGTGTGTGGTTCAAATATTATATTTTAGTATAGGCTGTTACATTAATTACAAAATTAATTGTGATATCAAAAATTTATCAATACGACAAAAGCTATATACCTAGCTGCACAACATGTTATTTGAACTCTGATACCAATTGTTTGGATCAAGTATTTGATCCAATACACAATCTTGTTTATTTTGTATTTTTTAAATATATTTACACATTTTTCTTCTTTAAAAAAAAAAAAAAAAGAATTATAATAGGATTGTGTGAGTGTGGAAAACAATGTGGTTGATCATATATAGCTGTGAAGGTACGTCACGAAGGTGTGGTGTCGTCAAGTGGTAGCTAGGAATAATATATATATGTTGTTGCTGGCATGGCTAGATGGGTGGATGTATGGGTAAGGACAGCTTACTGGCATGCGTATTTTTCTTGCGTTTTAAAGATCCTATTTTTGGTATCTGTCTTATCTCATTGGAATTCCTTTCATGAAATGGGCATCTACCTCTTCACCTCAAACTTGGCAAAAACTTTTACGGTTAAATTCTCTAATCTTTTAAGATATAAGAAAGGGAAATAGAAAATGAATTTGTTTAATTTGTAGCTTTGGGTAATCTATTTGAGCTTATTTTGTGTTGGAATAAAGAATTTAGATGAGTGGAACTTAAAACAGAATCTCTTGTTACTATTTAAGAAGTACCAGAAATCAATAATGACCAAAGCTGTTTTATTTTAATATTGTAGGAACCATATGTGCTATAGGATGACAAATAAATGCGGGTATTATATTGGTTCCGTAACTCCTCATAGGATTGCAAGTCTCAGATGGTAGTCATTCTAATTAAGGGGATTGGTTCACTACTTACTAATGATATGATGCAATAGGAGTTGTTTGGTCTAGTTAGATTTGAAAGAAAGAAAGAAAGAAAAATAGAGAGGGAAACATTAAAGAGTTGAATAACTTCATTCTTAATCTCTCAAAATAATTTTTTTGGCAAGTAAAAACGTAGTTGGGGTGTTTTCCTTCCAACTAATGTTTTTTTAATAATAATAAGAACGTGTTTATTGGGATAATTATCTAAAAAATTATAATTAACACGTTTATGGAAAATACTACATAGATTCTAATTCTTCATTCTCAACTTTTTACTCTCACATTCAAAATCTTGATGAGGTACACATGAAAAAAAAAATAGCTTATCAGTCTCAACTACATAAGGGAGTAAAAGTGAAGGGTAAGAATTGTGAATATATATAGTAGAACTCAAATAATATTTTCACATTTTAAAGTTTGAAATTTTCCTACAAAATAACCTCTAAGTAGGTAAGAAATTAAAGTTTGAATTTTCTTGATAATTTGAAAGGTAGAAAGTGTCACGAAATAATTAATCCTACGAAAAGATTATTTATGGAAAATAACAAGCACGAAATGAAAGGGTTGAAGGGCTAGGTTGTTAGCTTGAGTTGAGTTGTGTGATGCCCACACACTATCCTTAAAACCTCCCGAACAAAAGAACCAAGCAAACAAGAAGAGACTCATTTTGGGGTAAAACCAAGCGAACAAGAACACACTCATTTTGGGATTTGATTTGCACTCCTTACACGCAAGAGAGAGCATCTATGCTAGCTATATATTTCAATATGTCTTAAAATGGCTCTTGATGTATATATAGTGGTGCAAACCCACTTCCCAAACCAATGTGAGACAAAGGCTACTTTAAAGCCTTTCCACCTTCATTTTCAACTCAAATGGATCCATTTGAGAATTAATTTCTCATTCATCCATTATCCGTTTTAAGCGTATAATATATCAATCTTTTCGTCTTACTATGAAGAACTCGAATCCAATTTGATCCGACCCAAATAGAAAGTGGACCTCATATATATTGTGACACCCCGTAATCCAAATTCGATTAAGGGATTAACTAAATAATTAATCCTAATTCAATTGGTAATTTAATTACTTAAATTCCTGAAAATTCAATAGTCGGGGACTAGTAATTGACTAGTCAACCCAAAGTCAACCTAAAGCTTTGTGAGTAGTTCCCTTGTTCCCTTACACATTTCATCTTAGTAAGGGTAAATAAGACATTTCCTTGACAATAGTCTTTCAAGCTAACCTAGGAAGACACATTTCATTTCTTCAAACACTCTCCAAGAGAAAAATCATAAGCTCTCTCTCTTCTCTCTAAAAGTTAGATAGCTTTCTTTCCAAGCCACACCTAGGGTTACCAAGATCTTTCAAGTTTGCCTTCAAGATTCTACCTTTCATACCTTTGAGCATCTAGGAAGGTAAGATCTAAGCTCCTTTTGTGTTTTTAGTGTTTTCTAAGGTATCTTTTTATAAAGGTGAAATCTTTATGTTGTTTTGGTGTGATCTTGAAGTGGGTGTGGAAAGGGAACTTTGTTAGGAGCCTTGTGGAGTGTTGTAAGTGAAGGATAAGTCTTCAAGAGATAACCCATGCTCTACAAAATCTATTTTGTTTACCTATATGATGATTTATTGGATTCTACATGTGATTTTGCTATGAAATGTGAGTGTTGATGCATTGTCTTGTGAAAATGCATATCTAGAGCTTGTTATTAGGGTTCATGTATGCCATTGCTTGGCTATTCCTTTGATTCAAGTCATTTTGTTGTATTTGGTGAGATTTGGCATGTTTTGGACTTGAATTTGAGCTTGGTGTTGAAAATCCCCGAAGGGATTATTTGTTGTACATGTATGTACCCGCGGGCGGAACAACGGGTAGAGCTCCATCCGCCGCCCCACCCGCTGGGTACATGGCTGGTGGGTGTTGGTACCCGCGGGCGGAACCACGGGTGGAGGTCCACCCGTGGGCCCACCCGCGGTGTACATATGTTGGTTGTGCGGGGATTTATTCCCCGTGATTCTTTTGACTCGGTATTTGGTCTTTTGACTTCCCGATGTTCTTTTGTGGAACTATTTGAGCGTCTTCTTGATGTTTCGTATGTCTAGAACTATATGGTAGGGATCCATGTAGGTTTTGGTGTCTTGAATCGTGCTAAGTGTTCAACATTGTGATTCGTTGAACCGTGATGAGTCTTGTGTGTTCTTCGGAACTACGTTTGGTTTACCCGTTTGATAAGCATGCTAGTTCGGTGTTTAAATGCTAGCGTGTGTGTTGTTTGTCCTTTCCTTATGTTGATGATGACTTGTGTTATTCATCGTTGTTGTTGGACTGTGATCCATTCCTTGATTGAGTATGGTTTCATATCTTCGTTGTGATTCGTTGATTGATTCCTGTTGTGGTGTGGTGTGTGTGGCTGTACCTGGATTGCACGATTAGTGGTATGGGGCACTAGTCACCAAGGTGCGGCAGTGGTCCTCGTGGTGGCCATGACGCGATTATGGAGTTTGTGACCTGTGTGTAAGGTTCACGTATTTCTTGGGAGGCATGTGTTGCGTGTGTGTTCGGTACCCTCGTGTACTATGAAATCGGTGGTATTGTTGGAGAACTCTCGGAGAGGGGACGACAGTCCTCGGAGGGATAAGGTTGAACTTGGTGTACAGGGGTCCTGGAGGTACAGGTTCGAACTAGCTATAAGGTTGGGGGTAGCCATAAGGTTTGAACCGGGCATAAGGAAGGCATATCAATTCGTGATGGGTGATGTCACGAAGGCTTGTGTAGCCATTGTTGTGTATTTCCCTATTTGTGACGTGTGATGTCACAAAGGCATGTATTGCCGATGGTTGTGTTCTTATTCTCTTGTGTTATGCATGTCGGGTGTTAGTCTACTGTGTGATGATAGATTATACCTTGAGCCGTTCTTGTGAGTCGTTATTGTTTCTTGTGGTCTTGGGATGTGTTCCTGTATTCTGGTTGTGAGTGCATAGAGTCTTGTGTTGACTTCTGCTCTTGGTTTTGAAATTATATAAATATATTCCGTTTCGCAAATGATTTTACATACGTATATCCTACCTATGTATGATATTTCACATGTATTGGTGGGTTACCAGCATCATTCGCTGACCGGGAGTCGTCCCATATTTTATG